TAAATTGATACAACTACTGTGGAAAACAGTATGGAGCTTCCTCAAAAACTTAAAAATAGATCTACCATATGATCCAGCAATTCTTCCGAAACGAAGCAGGACCCTGCAGGGCCTTCTAAAGGACAGAACTCCTGTGACCCTTGACTCTTGTTGGTAAAGAAACTTTAGCCTCCTAGGCCTTCCCTGCGTTTCAAAGAGAAGATTTAATAAGAGAAGTAAGAAAATGCAGAAACAAAGGAAAGTAGGCACACAAGACAAAATAATAATTTGGCTATAAAATAAAGTCGAGGACCTTTCATTGTTCTCAAGGGCTGTAGTTAATATGCTGAGCCATGTGTTAAGTTGCTTCATTAGCGTCTGACTCTTTGCGACCCCCTGGACTGTAACCCGCCATGCTGCTTTGTCCATGAGATTCTCCAGGTAAGAGTGGGTTGCCATGCCCTGCTCCAGGGGATCTTCCCTGACCCAGGGATCAAAAACACGTCTCTTTCTCCTGCACTGGCAGGTAGGTTCTTTACCACTTGTGCACCTGGGAAGCCCCAAACCCTGCAGTTATTCTGCAGACAGTAAAATCCCAACCAGGTGGAGGAAGTTAACCACATGCTGATCAACAGCACTAGACATCCGGCTGGCTGGATCCAGAAAACTGACAACTGAGATCTCCAAAATACCACCAGGCCTACTAGCTTCTGCATTCTTCCAAAAGAGCAAGGGTATGTTGGCTCTACTGCGGAGACCCCCATGCCCATCCTCAACTCTGGCTTTTGTAATTATTCCACCAGCTAGGAAGGCTGATGCAGCAAAGACAAGATATATGAGTATTAATGATTAACCTGAATGATCCTTCCACTTCCTTCCCTTTCTGAATCCCATCTTACATAGGTTAGCTACTCCATCTCTTTCCCCTTAATGTATGTTTTCAATTAATTTAATAAACCATGTGATTCAAGCGACTCAGTTGAGCCTTTCTGTTCTATGACCTCTAGGATAGTCTGATGAGTAGTGTACTTGAAAGCTACCATTGTAATTTTCTGCCCCAGTAGTTCCTTTGCATGTAATATATTAGTAAATCCACGCAGCAGTCTTACATGGAAGGAACTGGGGATACTGACTCAGAGAGGGTAAGTAACTTGTCCAAGGCAGCACGGCTAATAAAGAAGGGAGCTAGAATTCATGCCCAGATGACATGGCTCCAGAATCCATTCTTTTTCACTAGACTCCTTCACTTTTGCACGTTCAATACACATAAGATGTTTGACAAACAGGAGACATACTGTCTGATGACTTAAATGGTAGAAACTTTGCTCTGTTTATTTCCACATGGCCTGTGATAAATTTTCTAGCTTCTTTAAGACTCAGTTTCTTCACAGAACTTATTTAACTATTATTTAAGTTTAACCTATGGGAAATTTGTTTATTCAGCACGTGGCCCCTAGTAGTTGTCTAAGTAAGAACGGCTAGCGCTCATTCCCCACTCTAGGGAATTGAGAACAAACCTTCATCATTTTCTTTTTTTTTTTTTTCATTTATTTTTATTAGTTGGAGGCTAATTACTTTACATCATTGTAGTGGTTTTTGTCATACATTGAAATGAATTAGCCATGGATTTACATGTATTCCCCATCCCGGTCCCCCCTCCCACCTCCCTCTCCACCCAATCCCTCTGGGTCTTCCCAGTGCACCAGGCCCGAGCACTTGTCTCATGCACTCAACCTGGGCTGGTGATCTGTTTCACCCTAGATAATATACGTGTTTCGATGCTGTTCTCTTGAAACATCCCACCCTTGCCTTCTCCCAGAGTCCACAAGTCTGTTCTATACATAGGAGTGTCTTTTTCTCTTTTGCACATAGGGTTATCGTTACCATCTTTCTAAATTCCATTTATATGTGTTAGTATACTATAATGGTCTTTATCTTTCTGGCTTACTTCACTCTGTATAATGGGGTCCAGTTTCATCCATCTCATTAGAACTGATTCAAATGAATTCTTTTTAATGGCTGAGTAATATTCCATGGTGTATATGTACCACAGCTTCCTCATCCATTCGTCTGCTGATGGGCATCTAGGTTGCTTCCATGTCCTGGCTATTATAAACAGTGCTGCGATGAACATTGGGGTACACGTGTCTCTTTCAGATCTGGTTTCCTCGGTGTGTATGCCCAGAAGTGGGATTGCTGGGTCATATGGCAGTTCTATTTCCAGCTTTTTAAGAAATCTCCACACTGTTTTCCATAGTGGCTGTACTAATTTGCATTCCCACCAACAGTGTAAGAGGGTTCCCTTTTCTCCACACCCTCTCCAGCATTTATTGCTTGTAGACTTTTGGATAGCAGCCATCCTGACTGGTGTGTAATGGTACCTCCTTGTGGTTTTGATTTGCATTTCTCTGATAATGAGTGATGTTGAGCATCTTTTCATGTGTTTGTTAGCCATCTGTATGTCTTCCTTGGAGAAATGTCTGTTCAGTTCTTTGGCCCATTTTTTGATTGGGTCATTTATTTTTCTGGAGTTGAGCTGGAGGAGTTGCTTGTATATTTTTGAGATGAATCCTTTGTCTGTTGCTTCGTTTGCTATTATTTTCTCCCAATCTGAGGGCTGTCTTTTCACCTTGCTTATAGTTTCCTTTGTTGTGCAAAAGCTTTTAAGTTTCATTAGGTCCCATTTGTTTATTTTTGCTTTTATTTCTAAAATTCTGGGATGTGGGTCATAGAGGATCCTGCTGTGATTTATGTCGGAGAGTGTTTTGCCTATGTTCTCCTCTAGGAGTTTTATAGTTTCTGGTCTTACATTTAGATCTTTAATCCATTTTGAGTTTATTTTTGTGTATGGTGTTAGAAAGTGTTCTAGTTTCATTCTTTTACAGGTGGTTCAAACCTTCATCATTTTCAAAGCTCAGTTATCTACCCTGTTTGAACCACACTTCTCTCAACTAATCACAAAACAGGTGCCTGTTGTCAAGGCCAGACAAGGGTTCCCTCAACATTTCAGCTTCAAACGACTTAAGCAAATCTCTTTCGCCTCAGTTCTGGTTTTTGGACCCCACTATTTTTTCATTCTGTGGGCAGTTACCTGTAGACAGTTCCCCTAAGAAACAGGCCCATGGGCCGCCCAGCGTCTGTCCCTCCGTCCACTCCTCGACTCTGGGCCTGGAAAAGAGCGTTTCGCAGGGACCCCGGGCGCCTTCTACTTCGGGCTGGGTAACCTCAGTCGTTCACCCCAAGCACGAGCTCTTGGTGGGCCGGCCGAGGGCTGGGGGCGTCACTGTGCAGGGCGCAGAGGCGGCCGGGCACCCGCGGCCCAGCTCACAGAGCGCGCGCGGCGCCCGGCACTTGCTAAGAGCTCGTCAAGTGTCACTACAGGCTTAGTTTGGTGATTGAGGTCCAACAGGGCCTTCAGACGCCCTCCTCCGTTATTCTCCCCCTCCTCCTCCGCACGGCCCCCTGCCTCGTCCCGCACACTTTCCCCGACCTCTCCTCGGGAGCTTCAGAGCAAAGCTGGGTAGCTTTCTCTCCTCTCTCGCGGTGTCACGGGGACGCCCCCTTTTCCCACCCAGGGCGTGGCTTCCCTCTGCCACCGCTCCACACTCGGAGAGCGCTCTTTCCTCTTTAGCTCCTCCAGTGTGCGGTCCGACCGCCACCCGGCCACCTCTCAGGATAGGCCGAGTTCAGTTCAGTTCAGTTCAGTCGCTCAGTCGTGTCAGACTCTTTGCGACCCCATGGGCTGCAGCACGCCAGGCTTCCCTGTCCTTCACCAACCCCCGGAGCTTGCTCAATCTCATGTCCATCCAGTCGGTGATGCCATCCAACCATCTCATCTTCTGTGGTCCCCTTCTCCTCCTGCCTTCAATCTTTCCCAGCATCAGGGTCTTTTCCAATGAGTCAGTACTTCACATCAGTGGCCAAAGTATTGGAGTTTCAGCATCAGCATCAGTCCTTCCAATGACTATTCAGGACTGATTTCCTTTAGGATGGACTGGTTTGATCTTTTTGCAGTCCAAGCAACTCTCCAGTCTTCTCCAACACCACAGTTCAAAAGCATCAATTCTTCGGTGCTCAGCTTTCTTCATGGTCCAACTCTCACATCCATACATGACTACTGGAAAAACCATAGCTTTGACTAGACGGACCTTTTAGGCAAAGTAATGCCTCTGCTTTTTTTTTTTTTTTTACTTCATAGTTTTTTTTTATTATAGACTTTTTATCCACATGAATGTTAAAGCCTCTGCTTTTTAATATGCTGTCTAGGTTGGTCATAACTTTTCTTCCAAGGAGCAAGCGTCTTTTAATTTAGTCCGAGTTAGCGCGACATAAACCGTGTTCCTGACGCACGGCGAGAACTAGCTGGACAGTCTCGATCGTAAGAGGTCCGGGCACCTCCAGCACTGAGAGGCTAGAAGACCGAAAAGCCAGAGGGGCCGAAGGCAGCGGGCCGGAGGGGAGGCGGGGCCAGCTGGACAGGCGGGACCTAGTGGAGGAGGCGGGGCTCCAGGTGCAATGGGCATGGCCCCAGAGGTTCAGTAGGCGGGCCCCGAAGCGCAGTAGGCGGGGCCCAAGGCGCAATAGGCGGGACCTAGTGGAGGAGGCGGGGCCCGAGGTGCAGTGGGCGAGGGGTTGGCAGGCTCAAGGGGAGACCTTTACGGCGGAAGGCGGTGCCCGCGCGGTGGCGCTGGGCGAAGTTTGACGAGTACCTTACTCCGGCTGCGGCGGGAGGTGGGGCCGGCGCAGTAGAGTGGGGCGAGGCAGTCGGAGTGGGCGCGCCCCAACGTGTGTGGGGAGGCGGGGCCAGGCCCGATCGGGGACAGGTCCTCAATGGGCTGGCGAGAAAGCGGGGGTCGGCCGGCGTCGTAGAACGGGGCGGGGCCGGCCGGAGTAGGAGCGGTCCCTGCGCCAGGGGGCGGGGCCTACTCAGAGCACCCGCCCGCCACCTGGTTCTGTCCCAGTTGCAGTGGCCCGAGGCGCTCGGTTCCCCCTGCTCCGGTAGCTCTGGCGGAGTCTGCGCGATGGGAGACCCGGAAAGGCCGGAAGCGGCCAGGCCCCAGCCAGAGGAGGTAAACAGCGCTGTCGCTTCCTCTCCCGCCCTGCTGTCACGCCTGGCCTCTGGGTTGCGAGCTGCGGCGGGGACCTGCAAAGTGCAGGACCTCTGTAGTAGATTTTACTCGTTGCCTCCTGAGACCCGGGGTAGGCCGGGCCTCGAGCTCTCGCCGCAGCCTCGCTTCGTCTTTTCGAACGCCCAGAAGGCCGTCCCCGCGGAGGGGTGAGGAGGGAGCCGGGTTTCTGCTTTGTTCTGTTTCGGGGCGACCCGAGGGCAATACCCTGAGACTTCAGATCCCGGCAGGGCGCACCCTCTTCCATCCTTCCCTCTTCTGGAGCCCTGGCAGGGTAGGTTGAGGTTAGGGCCGAGGACTGGTGGCCCTACTGGAGAAATGCATTCCATCTCTGGGATGGTTAATAGGACTTGGAAGGATGCGTGTAGAAACTGACACAGGTGGATGGGGTGAACTGATGAGTAGAAAGGCTTCGGGAAGTCCTCATAACAATGGCAACGATCTGATTAGGAGACCAGTTTTCCTCAGACTCCGCTAAACGAGCTATCTTTGGGGGTACCACTTTCTTCATTTCTACAGTGGAAATGATACTTCCTTCACAAAGAATTAAGTAAAGTGCTTTATGCAAAGTATCACGGAAGTTGTGGGTGCTTAATAAAACCTACCTTAACGTGTTCATCTTCTCGGCTTCTATATTAGGGAAAGTTTTAGTCGCTCAGTCGTGTCTGCCTCTTTGCGACCCCAAGGACTCTCTGTAGCCCATCAGGCTCCTCTGTCCATGGGATTCTCCAGACAAGAACACTGGAGGGTAGCCATTCCCTTCTCCAAGGGATCTTCCTGACCCAGGGATGGAACCTGGGTCTCCTGCATTGTGGGCAGATTCTTTACCATCAGAGCTTCTAGGGAAGCCCTTCTATATTAGTACAGGTACATAACAACAGTAAACACACTGGGATTCATTATGCCATAGAGCTGTAGGGTAGTTAAAATTGTTGTGCTATAATTTTCTTACCCTGTTATTTTGTAAATACTTCTAAACGTATTGCTGTGTGTGGTATCTTTGATTATTTTTAATAGAGTTTCAGCTCACAGAGATTCAGCTCTCAGATTCACAGAGATTCTTACATTTCTCCAGAAAGGTGTAGATTCCAGATTTGGGATTTTACTTTATTTTGACTTTGTAAACATTTAGTAACTAACAAATTGTAAATAGCCCTCAAACTTTCTCTTCCTCTTTTGAAACAAACACATTGTCCTACTGTAATGGGACAATTCAGATATTTTTGTTTGTGGTGGTAGCTCCAACAGTTCAGACTTAAGACCTGGAAGTTAATTTTTATTTATTATCCATATCTCAGTACAGACCCACAAAGACAGAGGCAGAACTTTAGATCTAGAATGAAGTTCAGTGAGCACCTGTTTCACAGTTTTTAACTTGAGATGCAAGGATGCCTTAAGTACTTTATTTCTATAGATATATTGGTGCAACTTGGGCCACCTGCATCAGAATCACCTGGAAAACGTTGTAAGAAATGTAAATATCTGGGTCTACGCCCCAGATATGGTGAATCAAAGTCTCTTGGGATGGGTTTGGGACTGCATTTTTAACAAGCACTTCAGATGATCCTGGTACACAGTTTTGTTTTGTTTTGTTTTTTTGGGGTATGCCAAGCTACATATGAAACTATTCCTACCAGGGGTCAAACACGTGCCCCCTGCAGTGGAAGCACAATCTTAACCACTGGATCATGGTACACATATTTTAAGAACACTGTCTTGAAGAGTTTATAGATGAGCTTGAAGGGGGCTTATGAATCTCCTGAAGTTTGTAGGTTTTATATGCACAGCTGTGAATTTCCAGAGGAAAGGGGTCCAAAATTTTGATAGTTTCCCCAAATTAACTATCATTAATCTAACTGATAGCCCCTGTTTTTGAAATGATATGCCCAGGACCACACAACTCAAGTTTAAAACCAAGATCTAGGTTTAAAACTAAGTTCCCCCTCCTGGACCAGTATTCCACCTGTTTTGTCAGATTTGGTGGGAATGGAAAAATGAGAATGAAAACATCTATGAATAGTGTATAACTCTGACAGCATCCAAACATTTTACTTCATCCGAGGAGAAGGAGAGAGGTGAAGGCAAGCTAATGAAAGTCGTGTACTGGAGGTGGATAGGAAGAAGGGGCTGTGTAGAATGCCAGTCTAGATCAGTGCAGGGTGAATGCTAGCTGGGGAGTCTTGACCCAGATGACTGCCCTTGCATGTCCTGACACTTCTTGGGACCAGGTGACCAGAATCAGGAAGCACCATTCTGAAAAAGACAGTGGAAAGTTACTAAGGAATGCCTATGAGAAACTGTTTCACGTTTTCCTCACTTCAGCACTTGTGTGGTTACAACAAATTAGTTGTCTCTCTACTTTCCGTCTTACCAGCTGTCCAATCCTGTTTACCACTGCCAAATTAATCCATCAATAAACCTATGCCTCCATGTCACTTCCCTCAAATAAATACTCCCCAAAGGGTCTTAATTCCCACACCAAACTGCCCAGCTCGTTCGACTGGCAAAGCAGCTTTTTCATGTTAACTACTACATCTTAATTCAGGCTGTCATTTCAATCTCTGAAATGGACACTGTCGTTGCTACCAAAATCTAAGATTCTTTTCGAATTCAGCCTACATGTGGATATTCAATTTCTCTTTCTCATAGTACCCTTGTTCGTGTTAATTCCTACTCAGAAACTTCCCATGACTCCCTATAGGAATGATTTTAAACTGTGCTCCACAATGAATGCCAGCACCTGGGGGTGGAGGGTAAGTGGGAAGAGTTGAAATCTGAGCCTCCTAGCGCCCCCAGGTGTTTGAAAATCTTTGACCCAGAAAATTCCTAACGCCTTAGTCCCATTGATACCCCACAATGTGGATACTTTAGGGAATTCCTCTTCATCTCATCTTGATCCTTTGCTTTAGCCAAGTCAGGTCACCTCTGCCTTTGCTTTATGTCCATTTCTGTCACTATTAATCCCAGCTGCCTCTTTCTCCACCTGCCCTTTCTCTTTCTGTCAAGAGAAATACCTGCATTCTCTAGTCTGCATTCTCAGCGGTGCTGCTGCCTTGTAGCTTCTCCCTGGATAATCACATCCATCCTCTTGGCGACTACTAATAGGGTCTTCACGCCATGAGAGAGGAGTAGAGAGAATGCTCTACCTACCATAGTGTTATATTTTCAGCTGCCTTCTTGATGTCTTGAAACTGAACCCCTTATCTTCTTTATTGATCAAATTGATTTTTTAAAGGCTTTTGTGTTTGTAACTTCTTACTATTGTTAATGACTTGGGTTGGTGGGGGTGTTTATTCATATTAAATTCTTGTTAAACATGTAATGTGAGAAGCAAGAGTTTTTGTCTGATTTATTCAGTTATTCTCCAGGTGCTGAGCACTTTCTGACATTAGAGAGACCACACAGTTCTTCAGAGCACACTTGGAAAAATTGTGAAGTGTTTTCTGCCTTCTTTCTGGTGTTATTTTCTTCCATTGTCCCCCACATACCATAAGTCCAGATTTAGAAAGTTACTTGCAGTTCTTTTTCCATATTGTTCTTTGCTTCTAAAATATGAGTTCTTAGCCCACATCCACAGAGAATGCCCTGGAGAGCCCAGAATGTGGGGATATATGATCCTCCTGACAGTATTTTAAAATGTGTGTGGATTTTCATCATCAGAAAAATAAGTAATATTATCATCTGTAGCCCAGTTCAAAGGTCTGTGTTCGTTAAAGCCCCTCTCTTCACACGGCAGGATCTTTCCAATAGCCCCCTAATTCAGCTTCTTAACAATCCACATATTACCATGATGGAACAGGAAGAATATATGTATTTAAATGTGACTTTCATTTGAAAGTTGTTTAAAGATAGTTGTCGTCATCAGCAGTTTTTGCAGATCCAGATGTTGATCAGTTATCAGCATTTTCAAACTCCATTCAGAGCAAGGGTGCTTGGTGCAAGGGTTGCTGCTTGTGATGTCATTCCCAATTGTCAGTGTGGTGCGCACAGCAAATAGAGTGAAAGTAAAGAATTCCAGCTCTGCATATAGACCTGTACCCCCAGGACAAAATACATAACAAAAAGAAAAATGCAAAATCATATCAAAATGCTGCATATAGTGTGATAAAAACAAGTGTAGTCTACAAGAACTCAAGGAAGAACAATGTGGGCCAAGATAAGTTTGAAATATTTGTTGACTAAAAACCTCAACCTTTTAAATTGCGATTTGAATAGCTCACTTTTTAAGCCTTTCCAGCAATTTTCTAATTACTTCATGAATTATAGAAGACCACCTTTCTAAGGCCAGAAACATCCCAACAGTTAATAGTAACACAAAACAATTTTAAAAGTTCATAACACTTGAGAGTATGCAAAGTACTTTTATTTATATTATCTCCTCTGATCTTTGTAACATTCCTTTTACACAAGTATGGCAAATGTTAGTCTTTAATTTACAGGTGATTATGATCAGATTAAATGACTTGCCTGAAAGCATGAATAATAATACTAAGTGCTTATTTAAGTGAACACAATTTTGTACTATAATGAACAGTGTGGAGTGAAATATGGTCATTTGGTTTACTTCATTTTCTGATGTAGAGGTAGCAGTTTCCAAAACATTGATTTTTAATCTCATCTTTACTGTCTCATCATTCACCTGTGAAATACATCCTCCTCAGCAACACACTTCATGATCTCATTATACATGGTGGTTTTAATCTGGTAAAGGGGAAGGCGAGTGCATTCTGAGAAAGTTTTCTCTGAGATTTTGAAACTTGCACCAGTTAAAAACCACTGCTTTAAGCCTCATCAGTTTGGCTGGTTTACACCAGCATCAAATCACTTTGTGGAGAAGGCAATGGCACCCACTCCAGTACTCGTGCCTGGAAAATCCCATGGACGGAGGATCCTGGGAGGCTGCGGTCCACGGGGTTGCGAAGAGTCGGACACGACTGAGCGACTTCACTTTCACGCATTGGAGAAGGAAAGGGCAACCCACTCCAGTGTTCTTGCCTGGAGAATCCCAGGGACGGGGGAGCCTGGTGGGCTGCTGTCTATGGGGTCGCATAGGGTCGGACACAACTGAAACGACTTAGCAGCAGCAGCAGCAAATCACTTTGGTTCTTTCAACTTTATTTCTAATGAACTCATTTTTATTTTTACTTTTTCCTACAGTCATATTTGATGATCTCCTCCTCCTGTCATTTCACTAGTTACATCAGTTGTTGTTGTTCAGTTGCTGAGTCATGTCCAACTCTTTGCAACCCATGGACTGCAGCATGCCAGGCTTCTGTGTCCTTCACCATCTCCAGGAGTTTGCTCAAACTCATGTCCACTGAGTCAGTGATGCCATCCAACCATCTCATCCTCTGTCATCCCCTTGTGTTCCTACCCTCTATCTTTGCCAGCATCAGAGTCTTTTCCAATGAGTTGGTTCTTCGCATCAGGTGGCCAAAGTATTGGACCTTCAACATCAGTCCTTCCAGTGAATATTCAGGGTTGATCTCCTTTAAGATTGACTGGTTTAGTTACATCAGTACCATTTGTTAAATTAACTTTGTTTAGCAGGAGATAGTACAATTGATTGGTCCTTGAATAACGGGGGTTAGGAGCCCTGACTCTTGGCAGTTGAAAATCCCCATATAACTTTTCAGCTGGCATTCTATATCCACTGTTCTGCAGCCACTGATTCAATCAACTGCAGATGGAATAGTATTGTTTTTATTGGAAAAAATCCACAGATAAGTGGACCTATGTATTCAAACCTGTGTTGAACAAGGGTTAATTGTAGTTTACACTCTCTTTAGGGGCTTCCTAGGTGCCTCAGTGATAAAGAATCCACCTGCCAGTGCAGGAAATGCAGGAGACGCGGGTTCAATCCCTGGGTAGGGAAGATCCCCTGGAGGAGGAAATGGCAACCCACTTCAGTATTCTTGCCTGGAAAATCCCATGGATGGAGGAGCCTGGCGAGCAGCAGTCCATGGGGTCACAAAGAGATAGACACAACTGAGTGAGCATACATGCACTCTTTTTAACTTTAGTTTATCTCACTGTTTTGAATTCTGGTTTTTAAATGGTAAAGAATCTGCCTCCAGTGCAGGAGACCTGAGTTCGATCCCTGAGTCAGGAAGACCCCCTGGAGAAGGGACCAACTACCCACTCCAGTATTCTTGCCTGGAAAATTCCATGGACAGAGGAGACTAGCAGGCTCCATACAGAACATGGGGTTGTAAAGAGTCAGACACAACTGAGGGAATAACACTTTCACGTCACACTGGCCCTAATCTAGCTGCCATCCACACATACAGAGATGTAGTTTAAGGCTAGGCTTTGAATTCCGACCTATCTCAGTTCTAATCTTATTTCTGCCACTTACCAGTTGTGGAATCCTGGGTGTATTATTTACCTACTTCAAGATTTAGTTTTCCCATCTGTAAAATCGGAATACTATTACAATTTGACTAACTTGTTGTACAGATGAAGCAGATTAAATGCATATAAAGCATCTGTGTGGTGTTAGTTCAAAAGCAGCCTCAGTGCTGGACCTAGAGGACATGCTCTTATGTGTCCTCCTGTTATAGAGCCTGGAACTGCAGTGTCTCAGAATCTTAAAGCTTTTTTGAGATTGCAAAGTCCTCAGTTCAGTTCAGTCGCTCAGTCGTGTCCGACTCTTTTTGACCCCATGGACCACAGCACGCCAGGCCTCCCTGTCCATCACCAACTCCCGGAGTTTACCCAATCTCATGTCCATTGAGTCGGTGATGCCATCCAACCATCTCATCCTCTGTCGTTCCCTTCTCCTCCTGCCTTCAATCTTTCCCAACATCAGGGTCTTTTCCAATGAGTCAGCTCTTCACATCAGGTGACCAAAGTATTGGAATTTTAGCCTCAAAATCAGTCCTTCCAATGAACATTCAGGACTGATCTCCTTTAGGATGGACTGGTTGGATCTCCTTGCAGTCCAAGGGACTCTCAAGAGTCTTCTCCAACACCACAGTTCAAAAGCACCAATTCTTCGGCACTCGGCTTTCTTTATAGTCCACCTCTCACATCCATACATGACCACTGGAAAAACCATAGCCTTGACTAGATGGACCTTTGTTGGCAAAGTAACATCTCTGCTTTTAATATGCTGTCTAAGTTGGTCATAACTTTCCTTCCAAGGAGCAAGAGTCTTTTAATTTCATGGCTGCAGTTACCATCTGCAGTGATTTTGGAGCCCCCCAAAATAAAGTCAGCCACTGTTTCCACTGTTTCCTCATCTATTTGCCATGAAGTGATGGGACCAGATGCCATGATCTTAATTTTCTGAATGTTGGGCTTTAAGCCAACTTTTTCACTCTCCTCTTTCACTTTCATCAAGAGGCTGTTTAGTTCTTCATTCTGCCATAAGGGTGGTGTCATCTGCATATCTGAGGTTATTGATACTTCTCCCAGCGATCTTGATTGCAGAAGTTGAGTACAAGTTACAATTTTGAGCAAGGTCCTCAATGGTGGCACAAACCAACAAAAAAACTTGACCACTTCCATTTTAGAAATTTACCTAAATGTTTGTGGAATGATTATTGAGTAAAGGCCAGACTGTATGCTAAGCTCTAAGGATTCCACAAGTGTAAAGCTGGTTTTTACTGTTAAGAAGCAGAGTCTAGAGGAAACTGTAGACAGAGAATTAAATTTCAGTGAGCTATATGCTATTTTAGGCATATAATCAAGGCCTTTGGTGTGCTGAGGGGAGGGGTATGTGAGGGTACTCAGAGGAGGCTTGACTTGAATGGTTTTAGATTATTTCACTGATATATTGTGGTTTTATGTTAAACTTTTTAAAATCTAGAGGTATCCAGTAATCGGAGCACAGGATAAAGAGAAATTAACAGTCCGTTCACTTACTTGTGCATGGGTGCTGAGTTGCTTCAGTTGTGTCTGACTGTTTGCAACCCCATGGACTGTAGCCCATAGGGTCCTCTGTCCATGGGATTGTCCAGGCAAGAATACTGGAGTGCGTGGCCATGCCCTCCTCCAGGGGATCTTCCAGACCCAGGGGCTGAACCTGCCTCCTGCAGCTCCTGCACTGCAGGTGGATTTTTTACTGCTGAGCCACTGGGGAAACTAATGTTTACTTAACACAGTACTCTGGAAATACCACAATATACATAAAAAAAGGTCTCCATTCTTGATGACTATTAAAATGTATATATATGTGTGTGTGTATACATATATGTATGTATATGGCATTGTCCCCTTTTAGAGTGCTATCCTCTTTCCAAGCAATATGCATTTAGGTATGTGTTTCTTTATCCCACAGAGCTTTGAGACAGTCCCAGTGAGACCATATACAGTACAGGAATGTTAGCATGTAAATAGGAAAAACCAATTGGTACATGGGAAGGTTCAGACAACGACTGCTAAGTTGTTGGTAAAGAGTTTTCAGATGAGTATGATAATATTTCAGTTAAGATTAGACAAGAAAACTTTAAAATTAAAAAGCAGCTTATAATAGTAGCCTATTCGTGCCAGCATTCTGTCTCAGTGAGAGGCACTGAAGAGACATTTTGCCCACAACTTTAGAAATTTGCCCCCTGTGACATTTATGGGTCTAGTTTTTTATACTTATCCTCAGAGTAACAATAACAGCAATAACATTTTGAGTGATTATTATGCACCAGGCTCTGTTTAAAGCATTTTTATCATCAAAATTAATCTCTAAGGTAAGTGTTATTTTACTGATGAGGAAACTGAGACTCAGAAATTAAGGAACTTTCTATAGCCACACACCTAAGCAAACACCATTGACCAGCTACCAGATCACAGTAAGGATTCGAGCTGGGGAGACTGGCTCCCAAACTGTGCTGTCTCCCTAACTCTCCCAGATGTGTGTTAGATGTGAATAAAGGGGAATCTCTACATAAAATGGGTGTTTGTACTTTATTTTTCAAAGAGGTTATCTTCAGATACCAATGAAAATGAAGCAAAGTCAGATGAAGAGCCACTCCTAAGAAAGAGTTCTCGTCGATTTGTCATCTTTCCAATCCAGTACCCTGACATTTGGAAAATGTATAAACAGGCACAGGCATCCTTCTGGACAGCAGAAGAGGTAAGTAGCATTGCCGTCATCAGCAAACATGTTCTCTAGGGCAGTGTTCACATTTTCTATTACGGGACATTAACATTTTTGAACTTACATGGTAAGGGACCCTGGATAAGATCAGTTGTATACAATAATGTCTGAAATCCCTGAGACTGAATACAGGGTTCTCCAGTGTTTTGTGTTTTGACTTCTAACTATAAACATGTTTTCTTCTGCAAAAATGTCATCTCAGTCTACCAGATTTTTACCTCTAATATGTTTTCAAACATTTTCCTTTCCTTTTTTTTTTTTTTTTTTGCTATTTTTTATTTTTGGTTGAGCTGAATCTTTGCTGCTGCACACAAACTTTGTTTAGTTGCGGTGAGCGGGGGCCACTCTTTGTGGCGGTATGCATGCTTCTCAATGTGCTGGCTTCTCTTATTGTGGAGCACAAGCTCTAAGCACATGGGCTTCAGTAGTAGCAGCACGTGGGCTCAGTAGTTGGGCTGCCCTGGCTTAGTTGCCCTGCAGCTTGTGGGATCTTCCCAGACCTGGGATCGAACCCTTGTCCCCTGCATGGGCAGGCAGATTCTCATGCACTGTACCCCCAGGCAAGTCCCATTTTCCATTTTTGAACAGACTTTTGAGTTGCTGTGACCAAATAAGACTAGTTTTTACTTACAGTCAGTGGAATAAACGAATAAATAAATACATTTGCTGCTATAGCTGATGATGCTGAAAGAGCTGCCACACAAGGAATTTGCCCAGGCAATGTACTCAACTTCTGAGCTGCTGGCCGGAATTCACCATGCTCCTCCTTGTCTGGCTCTGCCCTCAGCCACATGAAACCTGGCACAACTGCCCCAGCAGACAGGACAGCTGTGGAATGTTTTCTCTTAGTGTGGCAATTTCCGCCTGGGCAATGAATTGAACACAGCAAATTAGAAAATGCTCGCTGGTTTGGTAAGGACAGTTGGTCATGCAAGCAGTTGCTCCATAGTCTGCAAATAATCCTTGTCTTCATCTTTGAATATGATGGATGTTACTTGTATATCACTCTGTTCTCTGGGTGTGCATGTTTGCCTGTATACTGTAGATAGATATAACTATTTGTGTAAATATATTTGGGTCTGTTGATCTGTTTATTTACCTTTTTTTGTTGTTGTTGAGAAATTGATTCTTTATATACACTGTTAAGAATGTAGATGCTGCAATGAGCTGAGGTGCAAATCCTGGGTCTACCACGTACTAGCTGTGTCACTGGGAAAGTTGCTCTGGGAAGCTGCTCTGAGTCCTCTTCAGTAAACTGGGCTAATAGTACCTAGTTCATTGGGTGGTTGTGTGGATTCATTAGATGTGTAGAATGTTAGTTGGCATGTAGTGAGAGCCAAATAAATGTAAGCTACTAGTTTATACAGAATGGAGGAGATTTATACTAGATATCAGAAGGCACCCATTTTTGAAGCTTCTGTTACACTAATTTTATCCACCCACCCATTTTTGTTATTTTATATTTGTTAACATTATTAACATCTTTGTTATATTGTAGTTAGCCTGTAGAGCAAAAAAAAATAACCAAACCAAAAACCCAGTATATTCAAATCAAGCCATAGTGTTAGGCACACCTGACTATCCCTAACTGTGGTTTTTAGAAAGCTTTTTGTTAGATGTTGTAAAGAGAACAAATAGGGTGCACAGGTGGCTTTCTCATTCATCATGTTAAAAAAGTACTTGTGATACTTGTGTTACTAAATTTCATCAAGAAATTCATTGCATCTTTTAAGAAGTGTACTATGTGTTGCACCATGACTTAAAAATATACTTTTTAAAAACTAAAATATACAGGTGGCTGTATATTTTCAGTGGCCGTATGTACGATTTCACAGGTGGCTCAGTGGTAAAGAATCCAACTGTCAATGCAGGAAACGTGGATTTGATTCCTGGGTCAGGAAGATCCCTTGGAGGAGAAAATGACAACCCACTTCAGTATTCTTGCCTGGAAAATCCCATGGACAGAGGAGTCTGATGGGCTACAGTCCAAGGGGTTGCAAAGAGTCAGACATGACTGAGTGACTTAGCACACACGCATGCATGCACATTTTTTACAGACAGCTGATAGAAAGATTCAAATACATAATTAATTGGGAAGTCAAACACAGTTTTAGTTCCATGTATTTAGTTCCATTTAAAAAAATTATGTAAGTTACAGTTTAATCATCTTTAGATTTCATTGTTTTACCAGCAATTTACCTTTATTCTTAAATATGACTGATCATTGAAGACTTGATTCAGAAGACAAAGTTCTGGTGTTTGTTATTTTTTTTTAAAGCTACCTAGGCAGTTCTGTTAACCAGTAGTTTGCAATCAATCTTTAGATTGTGAAATTGAGAGTTTATTCAAATGAATAAAGCTGGGCAAAAAATTTACCTTTTAGGAATGGAAAATACCTGCTGAAGATAAGTTTAGTATTTAAGAGTGAGCATATTGTAATATTAAAATTTAGTGTCAGGAGTATAATACACAAAACCCAGAAAGATATCAGCTTAACGTGAGTGAACTCTTAACATTATAGAATAGGACCTGACTTTTAGCTTGCATATTTTAAAAGATGTATGCAAATATTTCCTCTCTGCTCCATTGTATCCCCAACATTTAGCACAGTGTCTGTCATGTAGTTGGTGTTCAGTAAACATTTAAAACATAAAGTAATGGGAAAAGGATTTTGGAAAGGAACATAAATGATTGAAAAGATGAAACTTTAGTCTTTTTTGGAATGGTCAAAGAGATTAGGGCTTTTTAGAATAAATAAATAAAGAGCAAAAGACAATTACACATTTCAAATGTTTGTGAGATTATTATGAAACATTTGTAAGAGATCTTCCAGAGACAAAATCTACAAGCTACATTTAGAGACAATTTTAAAATTGTAAATTCTACCAAACTTTAGAGTACATTACTATTAATTCCAAGGACTATTTCCAATAAACATTTTTCAAAATATTTATATAGGTACAGAAAGCTGTGCCTATAAATTTTTTTAAAACCCAGATTATTACCTGTCTGACCCTACTTCTGGGTATAAAAGTAGATTAGCTAGCAGTAAAGTAGTAACTACAACTGCTTAACAGGTGTCTAGTTATCTGTCTAACACAATGGTAAATACTGTATAAAATGTTAAAGCCCTGGCTGCTGAAAATCATTAGTATATTCACCTCAGTTCCTTCTTGACCAGTTTCTACCCTCTCTTTCCATTTTGCCCCTTCATTCATTTCTTCCAGACTTCAGTTTTTCTCCCAACTTTATTGCTATAATTGAGATATAACATTGTGTAATTATAAAGTATACAACATATTGCTTTAATACACTTCAGTTCAGTTCAGTCACTCAGTTGTGTCCGACTCTTTGCGACCCTGTGAATCGCAGCACGCCAGGCCTCCCTGTCCATCACCAACTCCCAGAGTCCACCCAAACTCATGACCATCAAGTCAGTGATACCATCCAGCCATCTCATCCTCTGTTGTCCCCTTCTCCTCCTGCCCCCAATCCCTCCCAGCATCGGGGTCTTTTCCAATGAGTCAACTTTTTGCATGAGGTGGCCAAAGTATTGGAGTTTCAACTTCAGCATCAGTCCTTCCAATGAACACCCAGGACTGATCTCCTTTAGGATGGACTGGTTGGATCTCCTTGCAGTCCAAGTGACTCTCAAGAGTCTTCTCCAACACCACAGTTCAAAAGCATCAATTCTTCAGTGCTCAGCTTTCTTTATAGTCCACCTCTCACATCCATACATGACCACTGGAAAAACCATAGCCTTGACTAGATGAAACTTTGTTGGCAAAGTAATATCTCTGCTTTTTAATATGCTGTCTAGGTTGGTCATAACTTTCCTTCCAAGGAGTAAGCGTCTTCTAATTTCATGGCTGCAATCACCATCTGCAGTGATTTTGGAGCCCCCCAAAATAAAGTCAGCCACTGTTTCCACTGTTTCCCCAGCTATTTGCCATGAAGTAATGGGACCGGATGCATGATCTTAGTTTTCTGAATGTTGAGTTTTAAGCCAACTTTTTCACTCTCACTTTCATCAAGAGCCTCTTTAGTTCTTCCCATAAGCGTGGTGTCATCTGCATATCTGAGGTTATTGATATTTCTCCAGTCAATCTTGATTCCAGCTTGTGCTTCCTCCAGCCCAGCATTTCTCATGATGTACTCTGCATATAAGTTAAATAAGCAGGGTGACAATATACAGCCTTGACGTACTCTTTTTCCTATTTGGAACCAGTCTGTTGTCCCATGTCCAGTTCTAACTGTTGCTTCCTCGCTTATGTACTGCAAAATGATTACCACCATAGTGTTAGCTAACACCTGTACCCCATCACATAGTTATCATTTCTTTTTTGTGATGAGAACAGATTAGGTTAATGTTTTGAGAGGACAGCCTGGCCAGCTTCTCAATTAGCTAAAAGATAGAATTCTTCATAATGTTTTGATTTTGTTGTGTTCCTTTGTAATTGTCTTAGTTTGAGCTGATATGATATAATAATATCATAGAGTATGTGGCTTGCAAACAACAGAAATTTATTTCTCACAGTTCTGGAGGCTGGAGATTCTAAGATCAAGGTACCTGCAGTTTTGATATCTGGTGAGGACTTGCTGCCTGGTTCATAGACAGCTGTCTTCTTACTATGTCCTCATATGGCAGAAGGGGCAAAGGAGTTCTTTGAGGTCTCTTGTATAAGAGCACTAATCCCATTCATGCGGGTGATCTAATCACTTCCTAGGGTTTCCTGATGGCTCAGCAGTAAAGAGTCTGTTTGCCAATTCAGGAGATGTGGGTTCGATCCCTGGGTCAGGAAGATCCCCTGGAGAACAAAATGGCACCCCACTCCGGTACTCTTGCCTGGAAAATCCCATGGACAGAGGAGCCTGGTGGGCTACAGTCCGTGGGCTCGCAAAGGATCAGACATGACTTAGTGACTGCACACCAACAAATCACTTCCTAAAGTCTCCACCTCCAGACATCATCACATTGAGGGTTAAGTTTCAATATGGATTTTGAGGGAACACAAATACTCAGTCTATAGCAAGAACGATAACATTTTTTCATTTTTCACATTTTACTGCAAAGATGTCCCACTGAACATTGAGACAGAAGTCAGTTTTCCATGCTTTGAGAAGAATTTAAGTTAAATTTTTTGAAAATCTTTTTATTTCAGGTTGATTTATCAAAGGATCTTCCTCACTGGAACAAGCTTAAATCAGAAGAGAAGTATTTTATTTCTCACATCTTAGCCTTTTTTGCAGCCAGTGATGGAATTGTGAATGAAAATTTGGTGAGATTTTTGCTTCTACTTTTGTTCTAATTCAGCAGGTAATGATAGTGACGGCAGTAAGATAATCAGACTGAACCTGAAAAATGTCTAAGAAATGAACTAGATGAAGCTTAACTCTTGAAAAATTTTTTTCTGATGAAGTGTCAAAGACAAGTTTTCATTTGTATTTGACCCCACCCCCAACAAATATCATGAAACCAAGCATATTGTACCAATAAAGACTGCTTACAAGGCGTAAGCATGAGTTTGCATTTACTCTTAGATAGTAATCCTAATAAAGAATTTGCACCTTAATAACCTTTCCAGAGCTCTGTAATAGAACACTGGGCCTGGCTCCCCACTGTATTATGGTTGGTTAGAAGGCATGTTTTCTTACTAAAAAGAATGGGAAGATGCAAACTTTCATTATCAACTGGTAATGGCTTCAATAGATCTACTTAAGCTCAAATTATTGTTTTTGATAGATGTTCTTAAATTTATTTGGCTTTATAGGTAGTGTTTCCAACTAACAGGTCAATTTATTTAATTGCTTAAGAATATAGTATGCAACTAATTGTGGAGGGTCGATGGATTAAACAATACCACTTAGAATAATTCATAAGGTCTCTCTGACCTGTTTGTGGCATGACAGGTGATTCTTATGTGATAATTCTGGTGTTCAGATTCTGATTTGCAGTGTTTAATGAGAGCCCATAGAATTGGATATATTTATTTTCCTTGTTTTTTAGGTGGAGCGCTTTAGTCAGGAGGTACAGGTTCCGGAGGCTCGCTGTTTCTATGGCTTTCAAATTCTCATCGAGAATGTTCACTCAGAGATGTACAGTTTGCTAATAGACACTTACATCAGAGATCCCAAGAAAAGGTATTGCTGCTGAGATTTTATTTACAAAGCTTTATCTATCACTTGGTTGTGTTAATATTAGGAAACTAAATATAGGGAAAGATTATTCAAATATGGAAGTTTAGGAATACACTATTTTCTATTACTTAGTAATGTGTTGGGTTAAAAAAAAAACCTGCATAGGACCAGTAAATCTTTGGAAATTATAACTTAGAAAACTGTTCATCAGCACATTCTGTTTAGAAATCAAATATTCTAATTTAGTCAATTTTGTATCAGACCAGATTCAAACCACTAATTTGAGTTTTATTTTGACTTCTATAGTTTATGGACTTGCCAAAATACAGAGAAACTCCAGATTCTATGCATACCATAAATTGCATAGAATCAAATACAGTTTGATTAAAAACAAGTGAATTGGGAATTTTCTGGTGGTCCAGTAGTTACAACTTGGAATTTTCATTGCCATGGGCTCAGGTTTTGATCCCTGGTTGGGGAACTAAGATCCTACAAGTCTCGTAGTGCAGCCAAAAATAAAAACAAACAAATGAAAAAACCCAAGTGAATAACTTTGCCATTAATTCTTCTGTTTTTACAGAGAATTTTTATTTAATGCAATTGAAACAATGCCATATGTAAAGAAAAAAGCAGATTGGGCCTTGAGATGGATAGCAGATAGAAAATCTACTTTTGGTATGTAACTTTAATTTATATTTGATCAAATTTGCTTAGGTTATACAATACTATTTTACATGGTGTAATATCACTATTCCTAAGAATTAATTGGAAGCTGGTGAAAAAATACTCTAAATCTGTTATCTATTCTGTTTACTAAGTTAAAAGTTGAAAGAGTAAAAGGTCAGTGCATAATTTCAGGTAAAGATGAATATCTGGGACAACCCAGAGGGATAGGGTGGGGAGGGAAGGGAGGGGTGTTCAGGATGATGGGGGACACATGTATACCTGTGGCCAATTCATGTTGCTGTATGGCAAAAACCATCACAATATTGTAAAATAATTATTCTCCAATTAAAATAATTAATTCAGTCACATAGACTTGGACAAGAATATTAGAGAAAGACTATATGCTTTGAGTAATGTTTATTTTTTCCCTAAAATAAAGCAAGTCAGAGTCCTAATATTTTTCAGGGAACAAATATATAGATTAGTGTACTCAATTAAGGCAAGAACAGTTTGCAAAGCAGGCTTATTTTTCAAATAAGTTAAATGCAGTCACCCTGTAGGATGAATTGAGATTCAATAACATTTTTTAAGGAAGCAATTAACATTGTCTCATATACAGTAGTTACTCAATAAATATTTATTACATTTAATTAAAATATTCAGATATTTAATATAAGTAGCCCTAAGTACCTTTCTTATTCTTATCTGTTTCACAATTGATTGTCTTTACTTTCTGGTTTTATTCATTATGTGCAGAAGGAGGTCTCAAAATTTTCAGTTTGTACTCCTTTGCACTCTTAAAAATTATTGAGGACTCCAAAGTGCTTTTATTTATATGGTTGTATCTATTGACATTTACATATTAGAAATTAAAACCAAGAAACTTTCAAAATATTTACTTATTAATGCATATTAAATTAACAGTAACAACCATTATATTTTAAAATAAATCCATGGCTGATTCATGTCAATGTATGACAAAAACCACTACAATATTGTGAAGTAATTAGCTTCCAACTAATAAAAATAAATGAAAAAAAAATAAAGTATATGATCAAGTAGAGGGTGGAAAAAATAAATTTTATTTAGCAACGCTCTTTTCTTGAATTTGAAAATAGTTAACTTACTATGTAAATTTCCCAAAAAATAAATAAATAAATAAATAATGTATATTTATTAAAAGATACACTGTATTTTGAAAAAATCAGTGAGAATAACCTAGTTTTTTATTTTTGCAAGTCTTTTTAATGTCTGCTTTATAGGAGGATGGTTGGATTATATCTGCTTCTGCATTCAGTTTACTGCAGACTGTTGTTTTGGTTGAGGTATATAAAGAAAATCTAGCCTCCTTCAGATATATAGTTACAAAAGGGAGGAGCATATTAAGAGGTTTTTCAGACTGTTGTGATATGTCGTGTAGCCTCTGGAAAACACCACTCTATACTAATGAGAGAATGATAGTAATAATGGTAAATAATGCCTTAGTATCACTATGAAAATTGTTTTCACCTCATAGACCTCCTGGTCTGTGGATCTCCAGGGATTCCTGGATAACACATCAAGAACCAGTGATTCAGTGTAAGACGTGGACAAGTATGTAGTGTATCAGGGAAGAAACATGTATGTGGCATTGCCTTCAGTTCATTGTGATAATGAGAAAAGCAGTGGTTTTCAATGTGCGTAAAAATCATCTGGAGAATTTTGGAAAAATTCTGTAGATTCCTGGTTCTCACCAGAGAGTGATCTGCATTTTATACCCAGCTAATTATCTCAAGCTGAAACTCCAATACTTTGGCCACCTCATGCAAAGAGTTGACTCTGGAAAAGACCCTGATGCTGGGAGGGATTGGGGGCAGGAGGAGAAGGGGGCGACAGAGGATGAGATGGCTGGATGGCATCACCAACTCAATGGACATGAGTTTGAGTAAACTCTGGAAGTTGGTGATGGACAGGGAGGCCTGGCATGCTGTGATTCATGGGGTTGCAAAGAGTCAGACACGACTGAGCAACTGAACTGAACTGAACTGAATTATCTCAAAATTGATGAGAGGTACATGGTGAGAAACTGGCTTTAGAGAAAAACAAAGGGAAACAAGTGTTCAATATGCAGTGAAAAGATTTGTGTATATAGGAAATGATGGAAAATGATGGCATGCCTCGCAGGAAGCATGTCTTTCCTGACACTACCAGAGAAAGTAACCTAGAAAGAGAGAAAATACAGGAGGGCAGCAGTCATCCTATGGTAATCTGCATAGTTTTTAAAAAAGTATACTGCTTACTTTAAACATATCTTTAAAGAACTTTAAAACATTAAATATACAGATTCAACTTTAATATATGTAATGAAATTACATTTCAAACATCAAAAAAAGTATGTTACACAATCTTAATGCATTGCATCATAGAGGTTAGCTGTATCTTAAAAACACATACTACTTCCCTATCTCTAAGACAAATCATGATGCCTTTGCAATTCATTATAGGTTTTATAAGAAATATTTTGAAAGTCTCTTTGTGGTTCACATCTATTTGTGAAAATTTGTTAAAAAAACAAAAAAAGAAAAGAAAATTTGTAACATTTACCCCTTGTCATCCTATAATCCTCTCCAAAAAGAATAGCCTTCTCTAATTATTTCTGTTATGATTTTCTTTCTGTAGCATTCATGTGAATGCATAGAATAGTTAAAATGAAAATGTTCCTCTTAGTCACAGATGTGTAAAATTATAGTCTTGTTCCCTTACAGATAAATATTCACGTGACATCACATTTATGTTGACTAAAAATGTCTCAATTTTAACTATCCATTCTTATTAACAGTAAGATGAAAATATAGTAATCTATGTAAATAAATGATAAAGCTCCATCCTAAAACAAGCAACTCACTAGTCGAAAGAGCTATTTTTGTTTTCAAAGGGGTCAACAGAGCATAGTATGCAAACATACATGTATATACATACTGCATTCAAAAACATGTACCTGCACCCATACCCATAGGCATGTGTAGCACAGATAAATCACCTTTTTTTTTTTTTGAGTGTGGAAGGCTTTCCAGATTTCAAGACCTGCAGGAGTCCAGTGTTGGACATAGCACCTGAAGTATACATGCTTTTCTGCTCTAGTAGGTTGAAGTAGCAAATTTCCTCCACCGAAGACTTGGCTGTGGCACTACATTGTTGATTTTATTTCTTGGCCAAACAGTTATGATATGGTTGTTAAAAAACTATATATGTACAAACATATATTATCTATTGGTAAGCTTGAACATGTCTGCAGTATATATTAATATTTCAGAAAGTGAAGTTATTTTTTTCTCCCCTAGGGGAAAGGGTGGTGGCCTTTGCTGCTGTGGAAGGAATTTTCTTCTCGGGATCTTTTGCTGCTATATTCTGGCTAAAGAAAAGAGGACTCATGCCCGGACTCACTTTTTCCAATGAGCTCATCAGCAGAGATGAAGTAAGGAGTGAAGTGTTCTTCTAGTTCTATTTGTATTCCTAGCTGGTGTTCATTTAGTTTTCTTTCCCTTGAAAATGTGTATGGTGACGCAAATATCCTGGCAATTAAAATAAGAAGTCATTTCTTCCTTGGATTCTCCTCCCAGCTCTCTTAGAATTCCTCCTCAGCCTCTGTGCATCTCTATGCATCAGGGCACTCCTGGGCTCCCACCTCGGCCTCTCTCCTTCCCTCTCCACGGCCTCCTGGCTGACCTTACTTATTCCCATGGAATCAGCTGCCACTTGGGTGCTTATGAAAACTGAGACTTTATCTTTAGCCCAGTTATTCTTTCCTGAGCTCCAAACCCATATATTCAAATGCATGTTTGGATATTTTCTCCTGGAAGGCTCCACAGATATCTCAAGCCTGGTATTTCAGGAAATCAGACTCATCATTTTCTCCCAAATTATGTTCTTCCTGTTTTCTCTATGTCATTGAGTGAAGCTATCTTCTATCCAATCATCCAAATTTGAAATCTGGGAGTCATTTTAGCTTCCTTCTTTTTTTATTTTTTTAGCCACATTCAGTCAGTAACTAAATCTTGTCTCTCTCTGTCTGCAACACTCTTTCCATCTTTACTACCCACCCCCCACCCGCACTTTTTTCCCCAAATCTTGATTACCTTCTCACAATTTGCCACTTAAAACTTTCCTGATCCAATTAAGGAAAACTGACCACTCTTTCTTCTACATATACCTTTGAAACCTGAATTTGTCCCTATTTTAGGTTCCATAAAGTATATTGTACTTGTCTCTCTAAGCTCCTCAAGTGCAGAAACCTTGTCATTAATCTTTTCTCAGGGTTTGGACTGTCATAGCCATTCTTCTCATGTTGATTGACTTCTCCTGGCTTCTTAGCTTATTTCCATATTGACCTTGTCAAGTTACTCAATTTCTCTGAGCCTCAGTTTCTTCAACCATACATTTTAACAGGGTTTTGTTAAAATGCAATGAAATAGTATATATGAAAGTACTTTTCAAGTGCCACAAAATGCTTTGTGGAATAACATTTTGTTGTTTCATGTCTTTAAATGTCTAGTAATTTTAATGTCATGTATGATTATTACAGAGAATTAAAAAAATAAAATCATTCAGTCTCAAAACACCTTTCATATTGTATTGATAGTTCCTTCTAGTCTATTTTCTGCATTTCTACATTTAAACCTATGTAAATATATACAAATAGCATATTTCTACAATTTGAGATATTCTGCCTTTTTCATATTTTTATGAGTTAAGATAATCTTTTTTCACTTAGCAGTTTATCATGAACATTTTTCTGTGACACTAAGCAATTTTGGGAAACAATTTTGTTAGATATTACTTACCCTAATGAGGGCTTCCCAGGTGGCGCAGTGCTAAAGAATCTGCCTGCCAATGCAGGAGACACAAGAGACTTGGTTTGATCCCTGGGTCAGAAAGACCCTCTGGAGTATGAAATGGCAACTGGATCCAGTGTCCTTACCTGGAAAATTCCATGGACAGAGGAGCATGGTGGGCTACAGGCCAGAGTCGCAGAGTCAGACACGACTGAACACCTGAGCACACACACTCACACACATATCCTAATGAGTGCATGTATCATGTGACTATTCTATAGTTAGCAATTTAGATTGTTTTCTGGTTTTCAATTTGTTTATTTATTTTGCCATAAGCTACATTCCCTAGAAGTAAAATTTCTAGAGTATAAGTAGACGATTGCTTCTTGGCAGGAAAGCTATGACAAACCTAGACAGTGTTAAAAAGCAAAGATATAAGTTTGCCAACAAAGGTCCATATAGTCGAGCTATGGTCTTTCCAGTAGTCACGTATGGTTGTGATAACTGGACCATAAAGAAGGCTGAGCGGCGAAGAATTTATTCTTTCGCACTGCAGTGCTGGAGAAGACTCTTGAGAGTTCTTGGGCAGCAAGATCCAGCCAGTCCATCCTAAAGGAAATCAACCCTGAATACTCTTTGGAAGGACTGATGGTGAAGCTGAAGCTCCAGTACTTGGGCCAACTGATGCAAAGAGCTGACTCACTGGAAAAGACCCTGATGCTGGGAAAGATTGAAGTTAGAAGGAGAAAAGGGTGACAGAGGCTGAGATGGCTGGATGGTATCACCAATGCAATGGACGTGAACTTGGGCAAACTCCAGGAGATGGTGAGGGACAGGGAGGCCTGGCGTGCTGCAGTCCATGGGATTGCAAAGAGTCAGGCATGACTAGGTGACTGAACAATAACATTTTAAAGGCCATCATACTTACTTGTAGATTTCTTTCCAGAAATGAAATAACAATTTGTAGCACCACCTAACAATATATGAACTTGTCTTTTCTACCACAATTGGGAAGTTTTTCCAGTTCTCCTTAAGTAATCCTTCCTTCTCCATTGACGTCTGATATCTTCTTTATTATATATTAAGGATTCAAGTAGACTAAAATCTGTTTCAGGGCTTTTTCTTTAACCTGTGTGACAAATTTCATGCTGTAACAAACTATTTTCATTATTATAGTCTTTTATGTTTTAATAATTAGTAGGCTAAATCTCATAACTTTTCTTTTAAAGTATTCCTAAAAGATTCTGCTCATTTAGTCTTGCAGATTAATGTTTTAATTTAAAAACAGTCCCACTGGGATTTTGATTGGAGTCGCTTTAAATGTCAAAATTAATTTTATTCTCTTATTGATTTAATAATTACAAGTGCCTTCCTTTTTCATACTCATCTCTGTAATTGGTAGCTAGCTATTGGTTCTTATCAATATTTACATTATCACCTTTCAGCAGTATATCTGAAATTCTGCCTTTGGTAATTTGAAATATCCTCTTGAGTCAAGTGGGAGGGGTATGTTTTACTAGTAAATTTTCTAAGATTAGTTATTTAAAGAGGCTTTTTCTTGTTTTTTTTTTTTTTAATGATTTCTTTTGGGAATGACAATTTAACTAGGAAAATAATCCTTGGAATACAGCCTTTGATCTGAGTCTCATCTTTCAATTGTCTTTGGTTTTTTGTTGATTCTGTTAGAAAAAGCTAAACAGCTCTGATGTTTAATCCTCTAAAGCGCATATTCCTTCCTTCCTCTCCTCCCTTGTTGGCTTACAAAATTACTTCTTTTTCTGTGTACTTTAGAAATGTTAATTGACTCTGCCTTGTTGTCAGTCTCTAATTTTTGTTTAGAACTCCATCATCCTTCTATGTCTCTGACCTCCTTCTCTTTTTTGTTTTGACTTTTTGAAATTTTTTTCAGTTGTTTTCAGCTTTATACCATCTGTTCTGTATTTTGAAATTCCAGTTATTGTAGGTTGAGGCTCCTTGCACTGTTTTCCAATTATTTAAGATTCTATAACGTTTCTTGTATTTGCACAACAATTCTACTCTCAAGGTATTTCACAAATTTGTTTACTACTGTCTTTGAGTTTTCTGCAATGTCATTTCTGCTTTACACAGCTTCAGATGGTATCCTTAATTCTTCAGTTTCCATTTTCCTTGCACTGAATTTATTTTTATCTTGAACCATTCTTGTTTAATAGAACTGTTGTATTTTTGAAATCTGAGTTTTACTTTTTCTTTAAATACTTAATTGTTTTTCAATCTGTCTTAATTTTTTAAAAGTTAAAAATGAATTTTATTTTTTATTTTTCATAGTTTGTTTTCCTTTCCAAAATGCTTTTGATTGCAGATTTGTTGGTTTCATTGTTGTTCGTTAGTTCTTCTTTCATGTTAATTAACTGAGATTTGCTGGCCTTGGAATTTTTTCATTATAGGTTATTATGATTGGCATTTTAACGAGATTTGGAGACAAGAAGATCCTGGCCCTATTAATCCTTCTTCCATCTTCCAGAAGTTCAGTATTGCATTCCTAGCTTATATAAAGCCTGATCACTGTGTGAAAATAACTGATAAAATGTTCTTTGACAGTGATATTTTTCTTCTGTTTTAGGGGCTTCACTGCGACTTTGCTTGCCTGATGTTTCAATACTTAGTAAATAAGCCTTCAGAAGAAAGGGTTAGGGAGATCATTGTTAATGCCGTTGAAATTGAGCAGGTAAGCAGGGACGCTTATATAAGTAGCACATCTCTCTTGGATGTTTGACTGCATTAGATTGACTCATATGAAATTGCCATTTTGTAGGTCAAAATAGATATCAGAAATATTATATGGTCAACCTGGCAGTACCAATAGATGATGTATTGCAATTATTATGTCAAGTTAAAATTTGGCTTATAAGCCAGTCTTTATTTATTTTTTTTTTCAGTCTTTATTATACATTAAGATTTTATGTATACTAAAATTTGTTTCAGGACTATTTTTTATATATATCAAACTTAGATATCAAATTTCATGCCACACCAAACTATTCTAATTATCTTAGCTTTAGATTTTTAGCTACTAGAAGGCAGTGATGGTTTCTTGTTTTGTATTCTTTTTTTTTTTTTTAAACTTTTTATTTTAAATTGGAGCATAGCTGCTTAACAATGTTGTGGTAGCCTCAGGTACACAGCAAAGTGACTCAGCCATACATGTCCATGTATCCATTCTCCCCTATAACTCCCCTCTCATCCAGGCTGCACATAACACTGAACAGAGTTCCCTTCCCTATACAGTAGGTCCCTGTTGGTTGTATTCTTAAAAAACTAGCAAGGTATCTGGCTTTAAGCATGCATCCTATGTTCATAGAATGAAGAAATAAATGAGTTAGTGAATAGTAAAATGTGATTTACAGGCATGTAAAGATCTCTCACTGGAAAGACATGGATGCTTCACTTAGAATGTATTTTTATCATTTGAAAGAGCTTGTTGAAAAATAAGTAAGTTTTTAAACTTAAAAAAAAATAGTTTTCATATTTGAAGAGAGAAAAGTCATAAAATGGATTTTGGGGTTTTTTTTTAATCTATTTTTTATTTATTGGTTTGGCTGCATTGGGTCTTAAGTGCAGCATGTGCATGAGAGCTCAGTAGCTCCAAGGTATGTGGGATCTTACTTCCCCACCCAGGGATCAAACTTGCAACCCCTGAATTGCAAGGAAGATTCTTAAGCACTGGACCACCAGGGAAGTCCCAGATTTTGGTATCTTGAATCACTTTTAGAACTAAATCCAAATGGTTAATATGTTTTCATTTTTCCTCTATTAACACTTTACCACTGTCATTAAGAATCTGCCTACAATGTAGGAGACCTGGGTTCAATCCCTGGGTTGGGAAGATCCCTGGGAGAAGGGAATGGCAATCCACTCCAGTAATCTTGCCTGGATGATTCCATGGACAGAAGAGCTTGGCAGGCTATAGTCCATGGGGTTGCAAAGAGTTGGACACAACTGACTTCACTGTCTTTCAATAAAATTGGAGTTCAGTTTATCTCCCAATGCTCAGATCCATTTCTATTTCTTTCTCATTTTCTCTGTTAATTGTTTTTTCTTTCCCAACTCCCTTTTAAGTCATGTTCACCACAGCAATCATCTTAGGTGAATCTTTTTCTAGATATTTCAGAACAAAATATCTCCTTTCTTTCTGTTGAGGAAGCATATAAATTTGGGTCCTAAAAGTGCTACTTTAAAAATACCAGTAATATAATAGTTAGTTTCAATTTACTCTGGCTACTTGAGAATGTGAAATAATGTGAATAGCAGCACCCCAAACCTTTTAAGCAAATGGGGATTGTTTGCCATGTTGAAAGAATTTATCCTAGTGTACTTTCCTCGAACAAGATCAGTGATTTAGAAGATTAATAAAGCTAAAACCCTCTTTTTATTTGGAAAATATATACTATTTATTGTTCTTTCTTTGTACTTTATTCTGTTTTTATTTATGTCTCAGGAGTTTTTAACAGAAGCCTTGCCAGTTGGCCTCATTGGAATGAACTGTGTTCTGATGAAACAGTATATTGAGTTTGTAGCTGACAGATTGCTTACAGAACTTGGATTCTCAAAGGTAAGGTGTTTCAAACGTATTACTACTAGCTAAAATGTTATAGTCAGGTAAGGACTCTAAAATACATACTATATTTCACTGAAAGCTTTTGTAACACACTAGTCTATTTTTTTTTTAACTTTAAACCTTTTAATTTGTATTGGGGTATAGCTGATTAACAATATTGTGATAGTTTCAGGCAAATAGCAAAGGGACTCAGCCATACATATACATATATCCATTCTTCCCCAAACTAGTATATTTTGTAAATTGTCCATGACAGGCTTGTTTTACCTGAACCAGTTGATTTGCAAAATCCTTAAATGAAACTTAAAATGAAATTCATTAACAGAAGTAGGAGGCTGATAAATCATAGAACTAATAAGCTCAATAAATTACTTTGTAATAATTGTAGGTATCTATTTAATAGGACTATCTTTAAGTAATTGGATTTAACATGCCAATATATGTTTACCCTCAAGTAAACCCCCATGTGTCTGTGTTGTAATTTGAGGGTTAATACTTTTATTTTTATTTTTTTAATTTTTTTATTTTTTCATTTATTTTTATTAGTTGGAGGCTAATTACTTCACAACATTTCAGTGGGTTTTGTCATACATTGACATGAATCAGCCATGGAGTTACATGTATTCCCCATCCCGATCCCTCCTCCCACCTCCCTCTCCACCCGATTCCTCTGGGTCTTCCCAGTGCACCAGGCCCGAGCACTTGTCTCATGCATCCAACCTGGGCTGGTGATCTGTTTCACCCTAGATAATATACATGCTGTTCTCTCAAAACATCCCACCCTCGCCTTCTCCCACAGAGTCCAAAAGTCTGTTCTGTACATCTGTGTGTCTTTTTCTATTTTGCATATAGGGTTATCATTACCATCTTTCTAAATTCCATATATATGTGTTAGTATGCTGTAATGTTCTTTATCTTTCTGGCTTACTTCACTCTGTATAATGGGCTCCAGTTTCATCCATCTCATTAGAACTGATTCAAATGAATTATTTTTAACGGCTGAGTAATATTCCATGGTGTATATGTACCACAGCTTCCTTATCCATTCATCTGCTGATGGGCATCTAGATTGCTTCCATATCCTGGCTATTATAAACAGTGCTGCGATGAACACTGGGGTGCACATGTCTCTTTCAGATCTGGTTTCCTCAGTGTGTATGCCCAGAAGTGGGATTGCTGGGTCATATGGCAGTGCTATTTCCAGCTTCTTAAGGAATCTCCACACTGTTTTCCATAGTGGCTGTACTAGTTTGCATTCCCACCAACAGTGTAAGAGGGTTCCCTTTTCTCCACACCCTCTCCAGCATTTATTGCTTGTAGACTTTTGGATAGCAGCCATCCTGACTGGCGTGTAATGGTACCTCATTGTGGTTTTGATTTGCATTTCTCTGATAATGAGTGATGTTGAGCATCTTTTCATGTGTTTGTTAGCCATCTGTATGTCTTCTTTGGAGAAATGTCTGTTTAGTTCTTTGGCCCATTTTTCGATTGGGTCATTTATTTTTCTGGAATTGAGCTTCAGGAATTGCTTGCATATTTTTGAGATTAATCCTTTGTCTGTTGCTTCGTTTGCTATTATTTTCTCCCAATCTGAGGGCTGTCTTTTCACCTTGCTTATAGTTTCCTTTGTTGTGCAAAAGCTTTTAAGTTTCATTAGGTCCCATTTGTTTATTTTTGCTTTTATTTCCAATATTCTGGGATGTGGGTCATAGAGGATCCTGCTGTGATTTATGTCGGAGAGTGTTTTGCCTATGTTCTCCTCTAGGAGTTTTATAGTTTCTGGTCTTACATTTAGATCTTTAATCCATTTTGAGTTTATTTTTGTGTATGGTGTTAGAAAGTGTTCTAGTTTCATTCTTTTACAGGTGGTTGACCAGTTTTCCCAGCACCACTTGTTAAAGAGGTTGTCTTTTTTCCATTGTATATCCTTGCCTCCTTTGTCGAAGATAAGGTGACCATAGGTTCGTGGATTTATCTCTGGGCTTTCTATTCTGTTCCATTGATCTATATTTCTGTCTTTGTGCCAGTACCATACTGTCTTGATGACTGTGGCTTTGTAGTATAGTCTGAAGTCAGGCAGGTTGATTCCTCCAGTTCCATACTTCTTTCTCAAGATTACTTTGGCTATTCGAGGTTTTTTGTATTTCCATACAAATTGTGAAATTATTTGTTCTAGTTCTGTGAAAAATACCGTTGGTAGCTTGATAGGGATTGCATTGAATCTATAGATTGCTTTGGGTAGAATAGCCATTTTGACAATATTGATTCTTCCAATCCATGAACATGGGATGTTTCTCCATCTGTTTGTGTCCTCTTTGATTTCTTTCATCAGTGTTTTATAGTTTTCTATGTATAGGTCTTTTGTTTCTTTAGGTAGATATACTCCTAAGTATTTTATTCTTTTTGTTGCAATGGTGAATGGTATTGTTTCCTTAATTTCTCTCTGTTATTTCATTGTTAGAGTATAGGAATGCAAGGGATTTCTGTGTGTTAATTTTATATCCTTCAACTTTACTATAGTCATTGATTAGCTCTAGTGATTTTCTGGTAGAGTCTTTAGGGTTTTCTATGTAGAGGATCATGTCATCTGCAAACAGCGAGAGTTTCACTTCTTCTTTTCCTATCTGGATTCCTTTTACTTCTTTTTCTGCTCTGATTGCTATGGCCAAAACTTCCAACACTATGTTGAATAGTAGTGGTGAGAGTGGGCACCCTTGTCTTGTTCTTAATTTCAGGGGAAATGCTTTCAAATTTTCACCATTGAGGGTGATGCTTGCTGTGGGTTTGTTATATATAGCTTTTATTATGTTGAGGTATGTTCCTTCTATTCCTGCTTTCTGGAGAGTTTTAATCATAAATGAGTGCTGAATTTTGTCAAAGGCTTTCTCTGCATCTATTGAGATAATCATATGGTTTTTATATTTCAATTTGTTAATGTGGTGTATTACATTGATTGATTTGCGGATATTAAAGAATCCTTGCATTCCTGGGATTAAAGCCCACGTGGTCATAGTGTATGATTTTTTTAATATGTTGTTGGATTCTGTTTTCTAGAATTTTGTTAAGGATTTTTGCATCTGTGTTCATCAGTGATATTGGCCTGTAGTTTTCTTTTTTTGTGGCATCTTTGTCTGGTTTTGGAATTAGGGTGATGGTGGCCTCATAGAATGAGTTTGGAAGTTTACCTTCTTCTGCAATTTTCTGGAAGAGTTTGAGTAAGACAGGTGTTAGCTCTTCTCTAAATTTTTGGTAGAATTCAGCTGTGAAGCCATCTGGTCCTGGGCTTTTGTTTGCTGGAAGATTTCTGATTACAGTTTCGATTTCCTTGCTTGTGATGGCTCTGTTAAGATCTTCTATTTCTTCCTGGTTCAGTTTTGGAAAGTTATACTTTTCTAAGAACTTGTCCATTTCTTCCAAGTTGTCCATTTTATTGGCATAGAGCTGCTGGTAGTAGTCTCTTATGATCCTTTGTATTTCAGTGTTATCTGTTGTGATCTCTCCATTTTCGTTTCTAATTTTGTTAATTTGGTTCTTCTCCCTTTGTTTCTTAATGAGTCTTGCTAATGGTTTGTCAATTTTGTTTATTTTTTCAAAAAACCAGCTTTTAGCTTTGTTGATTTTTGCTATGGTCTCTTTAGTTTCTTTTGCATTTATTTCTGCCCTGATTTTTAAGATTTCTTTCCTTCTACTAACCCTGGGGTTCTTCATTTCTTCCTTCTCTAATTGCTTTAGGTGTAAAGTTAGGTTATTTATTTGACTTTTTTCTTGTTTCTTGATGTAAGCCTGTAATGCTATGAACCTTCCCCTTAGCACTGCTTTTACAGTGTCCCATAGGTTTTGGGTTGTTGTGTTTTAATTTTCATTCATTTCTATGCATATTTTGATTTCTTTTTTGATTTCTTCTATGATTTGTTGGTTATTCAGAAGCGTGTTATTTAGCTTCCATATGTTTGAATTTTTAACAATTTTTTTCCTGTGGTTGAGATCTAATCTTACTGCACTGTGGTCAGAAAAGATGACTGGAATGATTTCAATTTTTTTGAATTTACCAAGACTAGATTTATGGCCCAGGGTGTAATCTATTCTGGAGAAGGTTCCTTGTGCACTTGAGAAAAAGGTGAAGTTGATTGTTTTGGGGTGAAACGTCCTATAGGTATCAATTAGGTCTAGCTGGTCCATTGTGTCATTTAAGGTTTGTGTTTCCTTGTTAATTTTGTGTTTAGTTGATCTATCCATAGTTGTGAGTGGGGTATTAAAGGCTCCCACTATTATTGTGTTACTATTAATTTCCTCTTTCATACTCGTTAGCATTTGCCGTACATATTGCGGTGCTCCTATGTTGTGTGCATATATATTTATAATTGTTATATCTTCTTCTTGGATTGATCCTTTGATCCTTATGTAGTGTCCTTTGTCTCTTTTCACAGCCTTTATTTGAAAGTCTATTTTATCTGATATGAGTATTGTGACTCCTGCTTTCTTTTGGTCTCCATTTGCGTGAAATATTTTTTTCCAGCCCTTCACTTTTAGTCTGTATGTGTCCCTTGTTTTGAGGTGGGTCTCTTGTAGACAGCATATATAGGGGTCGTGTTTTTGTATCCATTCAGCCAGTCTTTGTCTTTTGGTTGGGGCATTCAACCCATTTACATTTAAGGTAATTATTGATAGGTGTGGTCCCATTGCCATTTACTTTGTTGTTTTGGGTTCATGTTTATACAACCTTTCTGTGTTTCCTGTCTAGAGAAGATCCTTTAGCATTTGTTGAAGAGCTGGTTTGGTGGTGCTGAATTCTCTCAACTTTTGCTCGTCTGTAAAGCTTTTGAATTCTCCTTCATATCTGAATGAGATCCTTGCTGGGTACAGTAACCTAGGTTGTAGGTTATTCTCTTTCATTACTCTAAGTATGTCCTGCCATTCCCTTCTGGCCTGGAGGGTTTCTATTGATAGATCAGCTGTTATCCTTATGGGAATCCCTTTTTGTGTTATTTGTTGTT